GATAAGGAACTGGTCACACTGAGCTGCAGTCAACAGCTCCATGTCCCAGTGGAGAGCAGTGACGAGTGGTGCTCCTCAGGGGTCGGCCTCGGGGCGGGCACTGTTTAACATCTTTGTTGGCAACGTGGACAACTGGATCGATGCACCCTCAGCAAGTTCACCAAGGACACCGAGCCGTGTGCTGCGGGGACAGGCGGGAGGGCAGGGATGGCATCCAGAGGGACCTGGGCAGGCTGGAGAGGGGGCCTGGGCAAACCTCATGGAGTTCAACAAGGCCAAGGGCAAGGTCCTGTCCATGGGTCACAGCAATCCCCAGCACAGACACAGGCTGGGCAAGGAGTGGCTGGAGAGCAGCCCCGAGGAGAGGGACTTGGGGGTGCTGGTGGGGGAAAACTGTGATCCAGCAACATGTGCTCACAGCCCAGAACCCACCCGTGCCCCGGGCTGCAGCCAGGGCAGGGGGGCAGCAGGGCCAGGGAGGGGATTGTCCCCCTCTGCTCCGCTCTGGGGAGACCCCCCTGCAGTGCTGGGGCCAGCTCGGGGGCCCCCAACAGCAGAAGGACACGGAGCTGCTCGAGCGGGGCCAGAGGAGGCCACGGAGATGCTGGGGGGGCTGGAGCAGCTCCCCTGGGGGGCCGGGCTGAGAGAGTTGGGGGGTTCAGCCTGGAGAAGAGAAGGCTCCGGGGGGACCTTCGAGCGGCCTCCCAGGGCTTAAAGGGGGGGCAGGAGAGGTGGGGAGGGACTCTTGGTCAGGGGGTGGGGATGGGACGAGGGGGGACGGTTTTGCACTGAAAGAGAGCAGGTTTAGGTTAGATGTAAGGCAGAAATCCTTCCCTGTGTGGGGGGTGAGGCACCGGCCCAGGGTGACCAGAGCAGCTGTGGCTGCCCCCTCCCTGGAAGGGTTCAAGGCCAGGTTGGACGGGGCTGGGAGCACCCTGGGCTGGGGGAAAGGGTCCCTGCTCACGGCAGGGGGGCTGGAACTAGATGATCTTTAATGTCCCTTCCAACCCAAACTGTTCTGATTTTATGAAGCTCTTTGAATCGTGTAGCATGGAGCTGGGGGATGAGGTGATCTAGCTTTAATAGTCATTAACTGGATAATTTATAACTTAATACTTTAAGAATCCAAGGCAAACGATGCGTTAATTGTTGTAGCTCTCTGCTGCAGGACATTGCAGATACTAAGTCTGCATGTTCTCAGAAAGGAATCAGTCAAATTAACGGCAGCAAAAATCCACCATGTGACATAGAGGGAGCCACAAATCTTTGGAGGTACAGAAGGCGTTCCTGAAAGCGCGGCTGTGCATTTGCGATTTCCACGTGGTGTTTGCTAGGCCCAAGAAATTAGCTACTGCTTGAGACAAATCTTGGGTTTGATGGGTTCGGGCTAACCCAGAGAACCATTGTGGCAGCTGTGAGAACCAGCCGGGAGCACGCAAACCTGCTGCGAGCGGAGGAAGAGGCTGTCCCCACAGCAGCGCCGAAAGGTGATGCCTCTCGCTGAGAAACAGGAGTGAAATTCAAGCAGCCAAGCGCAGCAGCCCCGGGGCTGAGCGGCGGAAACCAGCACAGCAACGTCCCCGATGTCAGCTGCCCCGAGCCACGCGCTGGCACTGGGGAGGGGAGGAAGGAACTGGAATCGCATTCAACACACCCGGTCCGCTTTTGGCACACACAGGCAGATAATAACAGGCCCACACGTCCTCTGTGGTATAAAAATGCTGCTATCGGTAAAACAGAAATAGCGTTTCCTTTCTCTCTACCCTTCGCCTGTCTTATCAGGGCGGTGGGGAGGCTGTTTGCAGTGGGGAGGCTGTTTGCAGGGGGTTTGCAGGGTGGGAGGGGACGCCCGCGCCCAAATTGGGGCTGTTTGCACGGAAAGGCAGGAGGGAAGCGAGAAATTCCTTCCTGCCAGGAGCCCTGGAAGGGGCGCTGGGTCCTGGCCAACATCCACCCTCCTCACCCGCGTCCCCACTCCCTTTGGTCTCCCCAAAGGTCACCTTCCATTAGTCACTGCAGCTTTTTGTTTAGGAAATACCAGCTGGGATGTCCTGTCCTGTGTGAGCAGGGCTGAACCGTGGCCTCTGCCAAGCAACTACAACAGACCTTTCCCTGCAGCCCTCCAGGCCCAGGAAGTCTCCAAGAAATTCGTGGAAGAAAAGAGACAGGCTCCAAGTGCCCGGGGCCAGGCTGCCCGTGCGCACTCAGCAGTCCCTCCTTCATCCTTCCCTGCAGTTCTTCCCCAGGGCAGGGGGATAGCACAGAGAGAAGGTTCATTCACTGCATGGGGCAAAACTGCCTCGAAAGCTTTTGTGTTTTGAGATTATCCAGATGAATCAGAGGAATGTGTTAAAGCACGCAGCCAGGAAAAGCATTGCTTCTGAAAACAGGCACCTTCCCTGGGTGAGGACAAACCAGGGCTGGTCTGTGGCAGCAGGAGGGGACAGGTCCCTTCTGCAGCCAAAGAGCAACAGAGCAGCTCATCCCTAAGACACACGGGAAGGATGAGGCCTCGCACACCCCAAAGTGGACAGCAAATGTCCCCGAGGGCCTGTTCTGGCCCCAGCTCTGAGAGCAAGCTCCCCACTCGCCCAAGACACTATGCTCCAAGGACCCAAAATGGCTCTGCCTGTAAAATGAGGATGATTTCAAGCCCAGCTTCCAGCTGGGCTTGCAACATCTGAGGCATACTTTGTTATTTCAGAGCAAATAGTATTTTATTATTATTGCTCTTGGAGTATTTCAGCTTCTGTAAGCCCTGAAATTTCAGCCACCACCCAGGCCTGGAAGTCTTAGGCGGGGTCACCATTACACATCTAATGCTCAAGAAACTGGCTTAGTGCAGATTCCTGAGGCTTGTTGAAAAAAAAGCACATTCAGAGAATTTCCCCATTCTGTGGCAACTCCCACTTCCTGCTTCACAGGAAACCCCAACACACAGCGAGTAAAAATCAAACGAGACTCACACCCAACTGGAGCAGTGATAAGAAATTTGGTTCTGATCCATGCCGTGGAGAAACACAATAAAATGCCAACTTCTCAGAAGCCGAAAGACTGAACGTTTGCCAAGAGACTAAAAATAAGCCAAAGAAGGATATACTTAAAGGCAGATACTAATAAATACCTCTGTCCTTGATTAAATAAACTGCAGCTTCCAGAAAAGCACTCTGTTTTCCAGCAGTCTGGGGGAGCTTTGGCAGCAGGGGAATAAACATTAAATGCAAAACTTTCAACACATTTTAAAATAACTACCTTGCGGCTGGAGCTGTGCTGGTCAGTGCTCCGACAGCAGCAGCGAACTGGGGGGTTGCTGTTCCATCGCGCTGTACGGGCCAGGCACTGCACTTGCACATCCCCGTGTGGCTGCAGAAGCACCTTTACTTCAGCGATTGATTTCATTTGGCCTGTTTACATTCATTCCTTAGAAATAAATCATCCTTTCCACAGAAATGGGGACTAGAAGTTCGTGCTACATGGTGGCAGAAGCATTTATGGTAGCGCGCTGCCACCTGCCAGGGACCTGGGCAGAGAAGGAGCCCCTCAGCCACTCCAGCCGAGCTTTACAGGGCAACAACTGCCTCAGCTCCGCATGGTCACAACTCCAGCACGTTTAGGAAGCAAGTGTTTGCACAGGGAAAACTGTCCAAGACCCCTGTGTGAAAGGAACTGTGCCAGAGCTCGCTGAACAGCACCGTTTAACTTGACAAGTAACCCGTTGAACCTACATTACAAGAACACAGTGTATAAACGGAGCTCAGCCATGAATCACAGAAGGGATATCTGGTCTGGTTAAACAAAGCATTATTTTAATTTTAAGATTTTATAAATACATATTTACAAAAGGAACGTATCAATCCAAAGAGTTAAACAAATGTACAGCTCCCAAGTATTGCTACAGTACAGGGAGAGAAATCATGTTAATGCAATCCCACGATTTACAATACCCATTATTCAAAAAGAAACCACATTCTTAAAGTATCTCATCTGAAGTTTACAATATCCGCTGCTGCAAAAGCACGATCTGCCTCCAACAGAATGACATGACAAGAAGGAACTCATCCCTCTCATACAGCTTTTCACACAAAACACACCACTTTCCGCCATCTAAGTGAACACTGCCAGCCAACATTTCACGACCCTACGAAAGGCTTTTTTCCAGCCCACGGACTCCCTGGGGAGCACGGCTTGGGAACAGCACACTGCACGGATTCAAGGAACGTAAAGCCCTGTGAGCCCCGCGGGGCTGGTGAGGAAGCTGCAGGTCCCACCGCCCTACACCCTCCCGGCCAGAGGAGAACCCCGGCGGCACCCCGGGCGCACCGCCCGACGGCATCGGACAACGGCCGCGCTCGGACTCGCTCCGTCCCTGAAAGCGCGCGTGCAACCTTCCTCGTAAACTGGTTCTACTCTTGCTACGCTCCTCACACAGATGCAGGCCTACGGGTAAAGGGACTTCCCATCAACACAGGGGTTAAAGAAGCTACTGAGAACTCCAAGAATGCTTCAGATAAATAAAAGACCGGAGCTGCTCAGAAGTTACTCTCTGCAGCTTCCACGGGACTTGAGTAATCTTCCCCCTAAGCCAACAGCAACATTCCCTTTAGATGTCCTTCACTGCGACCGCCTCAGCACCGTTCAAATCACAGAATGAGGAGAAGCAGAGCCAGAAGAGCGCTATCTAAACTCCGTGACAGAAGCAGCAGTGACCTCCTAGAACAAAACACAGCAACGTCCACAACTGAATCTGTTTGAGGCACCAATTGCTGGATGAGGTGGGGGAGTTCTTGGATAACAAGGCTCAGCTCGTGCGTGGTTCTTCTGAAGCAGGATGTCCAGCAATTTTCTCTTAATTCATCCAGTAGTTCTAAACCTGTATGAGAGCCACCTAGGGTATTTTTTAACTGAAAGTTTCGGCAAATTAATTTTAATTAATTAAACTAAAGGACTGAAACACAAACTGCTAGTGGAAAATGGAATATAAGTCGCTAGAAACGTTAACCTGAAGTCTTGCACAATTTATTTACTTCTTTTATTTCACACCTCATGTATGCAGCTCCCAAATCTCATGGTCAGAGCAACATCCCCTGTTGTCCATTACTGTGAATCAGGTCTGGCTTGATGCTTTCACCATACTCAAGATGCTGTTTGGTCCTCTTTAGCCACAGTCTGAAGAAAGCAAAAAAAGATAAATGGAAGAAAGGGAGTACAGGAGAGCTATGTGACTCTCTGCCATGATTCAGGGGCAAGATAGCAATTTCTGCCAGATACTGAGACTGGTCTGGGCCTCTGGTTAACCACTGCAGCAGTCCAAGTACTCAGAAGCAAACTCAGCTACAGAAGAGCACAATCCCAGCACAAACTGCCAAGAAAGGTTTATCAATGTTTGAGCTTCTGATCACACCAGAGTAATTCCAGAAAACCTTTGTGAACCTGTGACAGCCAAACTGTCTGTCCCCAGAGTTGTCTGCTAATACAGCACACTCAGGAAACTTGGTAAAAGCAGAATTTAAATAACAGCCTGGAAGAGGGACAGGGAACAGTTGTACCTACTGCTGCAGGGACCTATGGAAGGAAGAAAAGCCAGTGCTGGGGCAGAAAATGATCTGTTGAGCTGGTCAGAAGTGAGAAAGAATATAAAAGGCAGTGGCAGCCCTTCCAGTTAAGAGCTACACACTCTGCAGCTGTGCACTGAAGCACGAGGACCAATGCAACATCCCTCCAGATGCATGGTTTGCTGGCTAGCACAACCCAAAGAGGAAGCAGTGCAATGAAAGGAGTAATTTAGCAACGCATTATCCAAGAGCAGTAATTTATCAAAAACCATTTTGTTCTGTCAGCACATTCACCATGTTTCTTATTTCCAATATACCAGCCATATTCCAGTAACTTCTACGGCACCTGCCCGTGGCACCAGCAAGTAACAGGAGCTCACAGTGCACTGCATATGGAACTTGATGCCAATAATTAGCAAGTTACTCTGTGACTTTACTAAGGGGGCTCAAATTCATAAGGCAGCAAGGTGTGAAGGTGCCCTCTGCAGAACTACAAATAACAGCTTTTTCAGTCTTTCTTCTCATGCCCCAGGCAGTAAGGAAGCTGATGGACAGAAACAAATATGACTGGAGGGTTTCCAAAACCCTGGAAATCTTACCTGTCGCAAGAACTGCTTCCCAAGATAGCTGGTCGCCATGCTTGTCAAGTTCTTTCTACTGCCAACTTTACACCTGATATAACCATAAAGGTTGGCTCCCTGAAGCACCACTCCCATCACAACCACTGCCTAAGACAGGAAAATACAGTCACTGATATACACTGCCTTGTCTGTAACATACAGGATCTATTACCTGAGAGAGTCCACTCACCAGCCATTTTACTTTGAAAGAAAAGAGAGCGCTGAAAGCAAATATCACCCAGATCATAGGACAGGTAATTAGACCTAACCAGAAAATTCGGGACTCTGCTTCTGATGAGGTTTTACTCCCTTGTGCTGACACCTAGAAGCAGAAAGGAAACAGAGATTAACAGGTTGCTCCATTGCATAGATCACACTGTCATTAAAAACAGCCCAGAATCTACAAGCCCCTTGTTTTTTGCCTCCACACGACAGTACTGGGTGCTTTCGAGATCAATTTCTACATCATATAAAGATCTTTCTGCAACAGAAGATGTTTCCATTTAAGGGAGCTTTTGTCAATTTTTTTGTCAGAAACAGTAGAGGCAGCAGCACCCTCTTTTTGGATACATGACATTTACTGCCTGGGTCAGTTACAAAGCTCAGAAAACAGCCAAACAGATGTTTTCTACCTCCAAATCACTGCACAGACAAACAGAATTTCACTAGTTCTAGCACTGGCAGAACTAAACACTGATACTCTTAGGCATTAAAGTAGGATAATTTTTTCTTTACACACGCAGAGGTCTGATTCACACCACACTATTATAAAGTCTTTACAGAGCTGAAGATCCCAAGCAAACACTCACTTCCTCCTATAATAGTTAGAAAACCTGGACTGTGGTAACAGCTTAGGGCTAAATTTACAGCATCACCAGCAATTCAGCTCCCTTTATTTCCATCCCCCAGTACATTCTAGCTTTTCTAAACGAGCAACGTTTTGAGAAAGAATGTGCCTGTAGCGAATGCACAAACTCAGCTGGAGAAGGACTTAAATTCAAGTCCCTCCACCACTGCAGACTTCCCACATGACTGCAGGAAATTATCATTACCTCACTCCAGAAGTGCATGCCATTAGCTCCATACAAAGAGATAAGAACCAAAACAGTAAATACGTGACACGTTGCAAGGTTCCTGACAGATGGGATACTAGTAGCCATCAGGAATGCAAAGGCACAGGAGTAGCCATGACAAATGCTATACATGGTTCTTCCTACTTCCAATAGTTTTCTTTAGAAGAGAAAAGTTATGTCAGCTGTTCCAAGTTCACACCTGAAAACCTGTAGGCTACTAACATGACACGGAAGCCTTTACTGCATTTTATATGGAACTTTCAGGTTACTTACATAAAGACAAATGAAATCATGAGAATTTTTAAATAATTCAACAATCTCAAAGCTCATTCTGCAGCCTACGTGAAACAAGCACTTGGTCACAGATCTATGCCTGGAAGTAAATGTCTGCATCGTGCAGTCTATCATCATAAGCATAGCCACCAATTAACAGAGGTTTCATAAAACAGAAGCAATTAAAGAGAAAAATAAAAGGAAAAGGAATTTACCTTTCTGGCTTCAAATATCCAGTGACTTCTACCATCATCATCTACCTGGTTCCACCAGCGAAGGCCAACCATCAGTCGCCCTGTCACATTCTGAAATAGAAGCAAAGCAACAAACTGAGGCTTTCCGCTAAAAGAAACCATTTGCTAAAGTTCAGCTGTTTGGGCTGCTATTTTCAATGCTGCTCATTTGCCTCACATTTGGGAAAACGAGGTTACAAGGCTCCTATGTCCACAACAAACTGTTTTCTAATATGTCCAGTACAATACCAAATTATTGTGAGGCGTGACTCTAGTGATTCAGAAGTGATCTGATAACAAAGCCTGGGCTACCTTAAAAGAAAGCCTAATATACGTTGTCTATTTGATTTTCAGAAAAAACCCAGGTACACAGAGATTTAAAAGTTATTATTTCATAATGCTTTGCAATACATCACAGTACTTGAGGGTATTGTAGGTATCATTTTGTGGGAATGACACAAAGTTAATTTTTTTGTGACATGAATATCACAGTTCAATTATTCTTATACATCAAGATGAAGATAACAAAAAGCTTAAGAGGAACTTACCTTTACAGCCCAAAAGTCACACGACAAGAGGAGGATAATTGTCACCATGCAGGCAATAAAGCTGCTAGTTAAGAGCTCACAGAGCAGATAGACAACTATCGCACTGACTCGGAAGAATAAGTGGAAAAATGATGCCACTGGATGCCTGGAATGAAGTACAGTACAGTCACAGCTCTTTCAGACAAGACTGAAGCAATTTCAGAGAAATGACACTGCCAAGGCGATCTCCCGCCAACTCACAGGATAAGGATCAGCATCGTAACATGACCCTGGTGTGCAACAACCGCTGCAACTACGGGAAACAAACTGACTAGAAGCTCATCATAAGGAAGACACATTCTACGTGCAACGATATCCCATGTGCAGACAGAATTTGGGGTGGAAGGGGACAGGGAGTTTTACCTGGTGTTCAATGTAAGGCAATTTTTATGGGGTAAATTTAAAAAGGTTCTGACAGAGGAAATACCTCTGAAGGAAAGATCATGTTTCTCAACACAGCAGACTTGCCCTTCCTTCTGAGTTCTGCAGTTTCCAGGTCAAAAACGTGCAGTGCACTGCTGAGCTCACCACAGCGCGCGGGTACGGACAGAGCTCTGTGGCAGGAGGCTGGGCAGCACGAAGAGGGAGGTGGCTGGACCAATATTGCCAGGACATGGCAGACAGGAGGGCAGCAAACACAGCCAAGAACAAAGACTGGGGAAGTGATAACGGACTAGCCCAGAACCAGCACTCCACACGGCGAGAGCCTCCCGTTACACAGTCACTGTGTCAGGGTCAGTCCCTTACACACAGGAACACACAAACACGTATTAAATGCGAGGGCACCCAGGACCACGAAGGCACAGACCTACAAACCCCAACTGAGCTCCTGGAACTGGCATTCTCAGTCACCCAGAAGTTATACTCTCCATTACCTCTAACCAAATAAAGGCGGTATTTGCCATTTCCTATTTTGATGTCACATGGCAGTCCTTCCTTCCTCACACATCTGCCTAGACCTCATCTGGAATCTCTCTCTATGGCTACTGACCTTATTTTTGACTTTTTTGATCTCCTGGATACATCATCATCTGCATCAAAGAGAGACACATCTTCAATGTCATCATTGCTGTCCTAAAGTGGGGAACAGATGCAAAGAGTTGTAGCAGGAAAAAGAATCTGTTTTCAACTCCAAACAGGGACAGTTTTGATAGTTTTGACTGCTCAGAAGTATTGCAGTGTCGCCTTAAGATCAAAATTACTTTGGGAAGAATGTGAAGATTTAACCACATATAAAACCAACAGCGCAGCGCTAAACGTTTTGATTTGTGCTTAGTGAAAGCTACAGGACAGCGTGAGCCCAAGGCTCCGTCCTGCCCCCCCAGCAGCTAACTTCACAGCCCGGCCCAGGGTCTCCTCCTCGGCATCCCCCCCCCCCCCCAAAGCTCATAACTACGTGCAAAAGCTCTTCCTACGTCAGGCCACGGACTCGCATCTTATTTTTTGATAGAGGGAGTCGCTGGCCCTGCAGGAACGGGCCCCGCCGAGTCCCTCACGCCGTAACCCTCCCCTCGGCCCGCCGCCCCGCGCCTCCCCACACCGCCCAGGCCCGAGGAGCCAAGGGGGGGGGGGCCGGGGCGTTTCGGGTGTCCCGGGGGCCGCAGAGCTGCCAGCGGAACGCGCCTGCCCTGCCCTGCCCTGCCCTGCCCTGCCCTGCCCTGCCCTGCCCTGCCCGCCCCGCCGGTGCCCGGTGCCCCCCGCCCCGCTGCCCCCGGCCCGCCGGGGCCGCTCACCTGCCGGAGCATGGTCGGAGCCCCCGCACTTCCGCCCGCCGCGCCACGTCACCGCCGCGGGCCAATCCCGACGCGCCTCTTCCTCCCCCCCCCACCCAATCGCTCCCTCCGCGCGCATGCGCAACGTGGCCGCGCTCCCCCCTCGCCCCGCCCAGTGCTGGTGATGTCACGGCGGCCGGACACGCCCACACCCACTCCGTGACGTGGCGGAACGCTCCCCCCTCCCACCTCCCTGCTGGTTGTATAGAAAATACAGTAGAAAAAACTGAAAATAAGAGGAACGCCCCGAGGTCAGTATTTTTAGGACGTAAGAAGAGACTGAGCAGCCGCGCTGGCAGGAGAGGGGGAGCTTTAAGCATCGTTTTTTCCAAAGTGCACAGAGAGGCCTCACACGGCAAGGAAACCATCAGAAAACATTCGTTAGGGAAGAAATGAGGAAAATTTCCCTCCGTTTACAAGGGAAGATGGTTGAATAAACTATATGCTTACCCCTTCCAGTTCTTCCATCTGTTTTGGCAAGCGCAAAGGAACAAAGAGGCTGCCTTGCAAGGAGGCACAACGTTGTTTTATTACATGCCGCCTCTTTGAAGGATCATGACTTGATCCAATTTGAAGCAAAAAGGGTCTGTCTGCATCCCTCTTACCAGAGCTGGTGCCAGCTGGAACTGCTTACTGGGTGGATCTGGCAGCCGCTGTATCCCTGAAGGACAGCTCGTTTAGCTCAGATTCAGTTACTTTGGGGACGAGCTCATCCTCTGCTGGGCTCATACACTTTAAAATTCAGACCTGCAAGACTATGACTTTTATAGCGAGTCGCACATCACAGCAAAGATGTAGAAATACAGAGCTTTTTAAGGACAAAAAGTCTCTAATTGGGCTGACCCACGAGTACTTTGAGCTGTTCTGGTGCCTCATCTGCTTCACCTCTCCCACTCGCTGGGGGAGAGAGGAGAGCAGGCAAGGGGGACCCCTGTGAGCTCTGCTTTAGCACCAGCACACACCACTACCAATAATCCCTAGTTTTTAGTTAAAAATGTCATTCTAAAGCAATAACGTGGAAGCATATGAAGTGCTGGTAGCAGCAATGCATTCTCTTTGGACAATCTTGCCTGTTGTTTCTCTGCTAAAATCTAAAACCTGGTTGTGATGCGGCATATTACAGAAATTACCGTCAGTGTTGCAACACAAAGTTGTTACTGTTGAGAAGCACAAATTTATTGGGACCCCTGAAGCTATACAGCACCGCTGCCTAACCTTTATGTTGAACGATCAAAAAGTAAAACAAACAAACAAAAAAATCAACAAATCTACTGAAAAACCTCTGAAGGAAACAGTGACCTTTTTGGGGTTTTTTTCCTTTTTTTTTTTTTTTTTTTTTTTTTTTTTAATATGGCCAAGCATTTGCCTCGAGGATAAAAAAAAAATACCAATAGTACTTTATGCTTTATTATTGTGATCAATGCAGCATTTTCACAGACAGCATTTCCTCCCAGATGCCCCCAAGGTGCTGTTCGATACCGGGACAGGACACATGCTGAGCTGGGGAGCAGGTCTTGGCTGCTTTCACCTTGTTCAGGTGTCGGTGCTGGGCAAAGCTCCCTCTGGGCATTGCCTCCCGTAGGTGCCTGCTGGGGGGCAGCGAGGCGTACACTGTCCCCAAAACGCAGCTGGGGCCCGGACCCCAAGTCCGAGCCACCGAGGAGTGGAGCTGTGGCTGTAGGGAAGATCCCCAGACATGCGGGGTGTAACCCCAGGGCTCAGATTCACCCACGCTCCCGGGTCAATATACCGGCTCGTTTAAAAGGAGCTCTGGAATCTGCTAGTGCCACAAGCAACCCAGCCTTCCCTGTCATGACTTTCTCAAAAATTGTACTGGATTCAGATTAACACTTTATTTCTATATAACACCACAGCAGAGAAGCACCACAGAAATAAAATGTATTATGCAGCAAGTCAGAAGACTTAATGTTCTTTATGTAAAGACCAGACTGTTTTAATGGCCTTTTTCATACATCTTTAATTTTCTATTTTATTTTTTTAAATTTAGAAAGGGCAGATGTAGAGATATTAGAATCACCACTGTCTTAAGTGATACACACAACCTAATCTTATGGTACGTGATCCAGCCATGAACAAGTAAACCATCCTTTCGCATCAATACTGCCTGCATACAGTTTTGCTTTCACATTAGTTTAGAGATAATATTAAAAAATCTATGGTGTTTACCTAGTTAACCAGTACACTTGCAATGCTCACTTAAGTCAGCGTGCCATTTCACAGGCAATCTAAAGCTATTACTGATAAATACAATACTATATAAAAACTTAATTTACTTTTTATATCTTTGCTTTTGCCTTTTAAAAATACTCTCTTGCTCCTTTCCTATTCGCTGCGTGAAGCATCAGGCACCACTTCTCTGCTGAAATACAGACACCTCTGGCTATAACCAACACTCAGCTAAAAGCACGTTTTGTTCAGAAGCGTCTGTCAAGCTATACGGACAAAATTCCTGTGACATCAACGCAGTCTCATTGGGATCATATCTACACTTTGTGGATGACAAGTACATCAATGACACCTAGTTACAACGAAACTATCGACACTATCTTGCCACTGCTCTGCCTGGCTTTGTCTCTGCTTGCGGGTACATCACGCCATGCACAGCACCCCCAGGTTGCCACCCCTGCACGCCCGAAGGGCAGGGGCACAGAAAGGTCAATTTAATTCAGAAGTGAATTGCAAAAATAATAAAACAACCTCCTCTTAGTTACCATCCTGACTTCACGTACCACGTATGACATCTTCCCATGCGTTAATTCCCTTGCAATGCATCTCTTGACGCCCAGCTCCCAGCTTTGCATCCGCTGTGCTGAGCTAAAGCTGATCGCAGGACTTGGTCCAGCTCTGCCTTGGTAGGTAACTGCACACCACCTCTGTTGGCTGTAGCATCTTGCAAGTGCCTGAGCATCCACACCTGCAGGAGATGCTGATTTATTGACTCCAGATAGGAAGACAACACTAATCCTCTTCACTTCGGCATGACTAAAAAGGCATCAACCGTTCCGTGATGTTTTTCCATCAGGCTTCCTGTTAGATGCTTTTTTCCAGGGGAGTTGTGCCAAAGGGCCTCTGGTTGCAGCTGTGCTGGGCTTACGCCTGATTTCTTGTGAGAAAGTGCCATCCCGTGGCTAAGTGTGAAATCCTTGCTGCTTCGTGTCTGAAAACTGCCAGGCGGAGCCACCGCAGATCACTGTAATGCTACGATAAGGCCAATTGCCAACCTCCACCCTTGCTCATCCCCAGCCTGCACAGCCTTTCAGCAGCAAATCTGAATTACAACAGTCCAGCTCCCACATCTTCATTAGCCTCCGGCTTCTTCATAGTTCTGCACGGACACTTAGTTTTTATTACCTGTTCATTATTCTTTGGGGGACAACTGGTGTTATTTTTCTCTGTTAGCAAGATCCGACTTAATCACGGGGTTTAGAAGTTGAAGATGACATTAAAATAGACAAACTGAAACTAATCCTCACCCTGCTGTATGGGGAGTTTCACAGACTTTCATCTTAGACCAAAACTGCTGCTGAAAGGACCCTTGACGTGACCCTGGGCAGGAGTATCTTGCCTTAAGCCTCTAATGCAAGAAAATAATGGAGATATTTCTGGTACACTGGCCCAGATACTCAGAGCTGGACAACCAGACAGGCTTTTGTCTTCCCAACTCAAGCCAATTTAGGTCCTGAGCGTTAATGGAAATCAAGGACATTTAGGCATTTTATCCACAAAACCAGAGAAATAGAAACCACTACCTTTATTTTTTATTTAATACAGATTAAATTTTAAGTTGCTTTCCAGCTGGGTGGCCCCCAGCATCTCCTGGTGCCTGGGGGCAGGACTTGCCACTTCCCCTTTGCTCAACCTCACCAGGTCGCTCTCCGCCCGTTTCTCCAGCCTGTCCAGGTCCCTCTGGACGGCAGCAGGACCCTCTGGTGCACCAGCCACTGCTCCCGGCGTGGTGTCATCTGCCAACTTGCTGAGGGTGCACCCTACCCCATCGTCCACGTCATTATTTAATGAAAATGTTTAAAAAGATCAGGCCCAGTATTTACCCATGGGCTACACCACTAGTTACTGGCCTCCAACTAGACTTTGTGCGACTGATCACCACCCTCTGGGCTCAGCTGCTCAGCAGTTGTCCGTATGCAGGTCTTCAGCTTATAGACTCTAATGAATCCACACAAACTCTAACAATACATATTTATTTTATTTATTCACACACAGTTGAGCCATATGTTGAGCTATATTAGCATCAAACAGTGCTGTGTCTGTAGTAACAGCAGGTCTAGCAAGATAAATTCACTAGAGGACTCAGTCCATTGACTGCCTTGAGAAATAGCTGAATATACCAATAATATTTCTCAGAAAAACTTACAGGGGAGATGTATTTTATACATAGAAACCACAGGGATCTTCACATGGCAGACTCAGCTGGACACCAGAATCCTCAGATACCAATTGTTTGTTAGACTAAGGGATTATCTCAGATGAATGTATTAAACCCAAGTTCAGGAGCAGCTATTTTCCCCTCCTTAGTGAAAGAGTCTGTAGGTAGGCCTTTAATTTTCCGTAACCAGGCCTTCTTGCATGCTTTCTGGTGATGTTCTGTGAGCTTTGCGTGGTATGCCTGAAACTGAGCTACAGTAGCTGCCTCGTACGCCTCCTTCTGTTTCGTTGTCAGAAGTCTGAACCCACTGTCATTCTGGGAAGGGTCTGCAGCGTACGGACAAAAGGGCTTTTTTCTCCTGGGAACTGCTTCATTTTTCATCTGTGCAGTCCTCACACGTGTTGATTTGATCAGTTCAGAAGAAGCTGTAAAGGGATTGATAAGCTGTTCCTCATCTTCAGGGAGAGGGATGACTTTACTGTGACCACTTTGAGCTTTGTTTTCTCGCAGCAAACCACAAGTCTTGGGACGTACAACGGAGGGAGCAGGGATGGAGGAATTCACACTGGGTCCATGCAAGGAGTTTTTCAGCTTGAGCTTCAGCATTTTGGTTTCAAAGGGTACAGAAATTCTTTTCGTAGTCAGAGAATCACCGTGCAATCTCACATGTTGGAGCTGGACTGTCTGATCCTTTTTGTGTTGCAGAGGGGTTTTGTATATTTGTACCATTTCAGGGCGGTGTTGCTGATGTTCCCGTGGAGGTTCCCATGCTTCCCTGACTTTTGCAGCGTGCTCAATACTGGACCTGAGTGGGGCTGCCTTGCGGGTGTTCTGCAGCATGCTGGTGGTTGAGAGGAGCTTGTCAGGGGACACTGGACAACTCGGACCTCTTCTCTTTTCATGGTGCAAAGTAGCTTCTGCCCTGTCAGGTTGTGCAGGTGCATAGAGAGAAAGGCCATGTTCAGGTTTGCCATCTGTTTCCAAAAATAAAACAATACATTTGGAATTGAGGATAGTTTTTGTGATCATTGTTGGCAGGTTAGTACTCTGAGTAAGACCAAATGCTGGATTGACAGGCATATGGACAGTCCCAGTTTATCTCTGGAACAGGCAGCATGGGAAGGTACATGGCAGTGGTGCCCATTTCAGTTTGCTCATCCTTAGCCTCACTAGTGATGCTGCCAACGTCAGAGGTAACTCTGTCTTGGTTGACTGAGAAATGTTCCTTGCCATCGCCTGTAAGAGTCAAACTCAAGTCAGATTCTGTAACGTGTGTTGTATTTGCATGTGGAGGGATTGGTGTCCACCTTGTTTGAAACCATGGTTTCCAAAAGGAATGGGGTTCCCCACCACTACCTCTTCCCATGCACCCCTTTCTTGTCCTACAGTTTGTGCTTTGGGAAAAGGCTTCAAGAAAAGTTGGTTCCTGGTAGAAATCTTTGAAGTAGCCAACACCTGGGAATCACTTTGAACTGTTACTACTGAGAGCTGCATTTGAATTGGAAACCACAAAACATGCTTCATAGCCTGGCTTTGCTGTCTAAAGGGGTGTGTGGAGTGACCTGTGCTGTATGACAGACACATCAAGATGGATTGTGTGATTATGCCCTTGACTATAAGAACTTGATGGGGATTATGACACAGAGTGTGTAAGATGCTCTGTCCCATGGCCTTGCCATAGCGATTAATATGTCACTTTGCTTTGCAGTGTCATGCTGTTCACATATCATTGCATTGCAATACAGTGCTGGTTTTCCAGACTGGTTAACAAACTTCTGCCCTCTGGAAATGCATTTCAGAGAACAGTAAGTTACAGTGCAGAAAGGCAGAGTACAGCAAAAGAAACGAGTGAAAATTACTGCTTGTTCCTTGTCACAGAATTTAGAACTGATTAATCTGCACATATATGTGACCCTGCATCTTAGTTACAAACACCAGGAGTTTAGGGTTGGAGACTTTCAATTGGTACAGACTTCAGAGTATGTCTTGAGATTTAAGATCCCAACAGATTCTGAATATAAAACCTTCAAAAAATTAATTTGAGACAAATGCCATATGGCCACAGACCTTATCTGTGACCTCAGCACTATCTCATTTGCGAGTTTCAGGTTGACATCTCATTGCTGGCTGAGATGATTTACATACAATTTTTAAAAACAATTACTGCTACTGATTAATTACCAACTACTTGAATAAATTTTGTGCACAGTTTTCCTATACCTGTTAAAGAAATCAGAAAGTACATTAAGGATACAGTAAAAAAAAAAAATCTAGATACCAGAGAACTAGGCTTTATAGCTAGAACTGATCTCTTATCCTACTGACTTGATCTAAAGCAGCTTCTGTAGCCATCACAGAATCTGCAAGTGATCTGTTTTACCACTGCAAACCTTTCATCCAGAACGGGTCTGTCTTCTAGAGATCCTTACCTTTTGTTTACTCCATTCCATTATCTTAGGTGCACTTATTTGAAGAATTACTGCCCTGCCTAGCTGGGAAGAATCCTTACCAGTATCTGCTAGGATTCTTGCAGAACATGCTCTCATTGACTTTCCCAAGGCAAAGCCATGGGGCTGTGTGGTACCAGGAATGAAAAGCTTTTTCAGCTTCTCTGCCTGATTATGAAAAGTCTTTTCAATCTTGAGAAAATTCTGCTGTTCCTGGCAAGCTGCTGATTTCATCAGTCCATTGCGGAGAGCTAGAAAGCAGAAGAAAGAATCATCTCTAAACCTTACTGGTGTTAAACTTTTTTTTTTTTTTAATTAAATAAATTATTCATAACTGATGATATTTCAAGTCTTTGTTTTGCCTCTTATCACAGCTTCTAAAGGCCTTGATATTATAACTAATCCAAAGATATACGATTAGCAGAAAACCTCTCAAAATTCAAAGATGACAGCAAATGTTGATTTTTAAAATATTAAATGTGTACACTTTTTTTGCCACTAAAATTAAAATATATTGTACTCCCTATTTGTTTCATGTTTCTACAAACTGTAGATCTTTTACCAAGCAGAGCTGCATCAAGGAGGTTAGCATCTGATGGCCTTAAAAGCATGCAAACTTTCTTAGCTCATGAGTTCATCTGCAATATATAGTTTGATTGTAGAGCTGGAAGATTTGTGATGCAAACTGTATTAAGTAACTGCTGATTTTAAAAAAAAACAACATCACAATGTTACAATTTAAAAGGTGCCTGCTTATGTGCAATTGCATTTCCCCGTGATGGCAGATCCTGAATGCAGGTGTCCTATGACTTTCTAGAGTATTTTCTAATAAATAATTCAAGCACTGAATCAGCGACATGTTTCCGTGCATGCCAGCTGTAAGAATATGAATAATACTACTGATTTCTCTATTACTCAGTTAGAAAGTGACAGTGCCTGTCTTGACAAATGTGTTGAATTTATACCAAACCTTTCTAAAAAGGTACAAAGGTTTTACAAAAGCCTGGAAATGACAGAACTATTGAAATGCAACAGCACATCGACCAGACTGCGCTTTCAAAAAGCAGAGCATCTGTAAATTGATTCGGATGAAGGCAGTGGGTACTTGAAATTATTTCTAACTCATTTTAGAAAATGCCAGCGTATTGCAGAGGCTGTACATAATATGTTGAGATGTTCCACAGCTTTTTGGTGGCCAGCAGCAGATCCAGCAAGACAGCATGAGCTGGTCAGCACCTCGTGTCTCCAGAGCAAGTTGATGCACCCGGCTGAGGTCGTGGCATTTCGCTCCCTGAAGGTGGAGTGGCCTGCTGCTTGAAGTCCCCGTGGGCTGTTTTTTCTTCCCCACCACCTCTCGATTGGAGTCTAAGGTATAGTCCCACCTGCCCTCCTCAAACTGGAACATCAGCAGGCTAGTTGGTGAATTGATCACCAGCCTGGAGAAGGGAAGGGAAAGCCATTAAAAGCACAGATGTCATTAACACAGCAGTTACTACCTAACAGGGCCGTGTTTTGCTTCTGTGCAATACAAAACCTGAAGGCGATTAAACAGATCCAAGATAACCATCACTTGTTTAAGGAAGCAGTAGCAATTAGCCCCATCAGTGAGATGCTGTACATTTTAACTCATACTCTGTATGAGCTCTGTGGGGCTCTTTTCGCTCATCTCTAAGGCAAGATTAGTTTTAAAATAATTAGGATGAAAATTTCCAACAGTGGACTGAGCTAGATTACTGCAATGCCAAAAGAAACTGGAGATACCAACCACATTATTAGGGACATTTAAACCTAAATTAGAGAGGTGTATTTGGTCTGGTTGGCATGGAGTTAGTTTTCTTCATGGCAGCCCATATATAACTGTGTTTTAGTGTTGTGACCAAAACAGCATTGTACACCAGTATTTTAGCTATTGTTCACACAGAAGCTGGGAACTACCTTTAGTTTAGAGGCACAGATGTGAAGGAACCTGGAAGAATTTTCCATTATTGTCTGTTATAAAGAGGCAGTAGGTCAGGGTAAAAGTAGGTAGAAGTAGGTAAAGGCTTTGGCAGGCCTTGGCTTGATTCTCCAACCCCTTAAGAAATTTGGGTTCTCAATTCAGCTTTACAGTTGGTCCATAGAATCATAGAATCATTTAGGTTGGAAAAGACCTTTAAGGTCATCAAATCCAAACATAAATCTAATACTGACAAATCTACCACTCAACCATGTAGCTACCCACCAGGACTACACATCTTTACCTCCAGGGATGGTGACTCAACCCCAGGCAGCCTGTTTCAATGCTATATCTTAAGGTTGTGTAAAACCAGAAAATTATAGATTTCTGAATGGACTAAGCAAATCTATTTTCAATCATTACTAACAAAACCAAGTTGCTGAAGCAGCCAATAAGCAGTAGAGCCCTTTAAAGCTTATTTGCAAGGACAGTAAAAGGAAGAATACATAATTTCTTAAATTACAATGTTATCTACCGAGTTTGGTCCAGAGGCTGATTGCAGCTGTCATCACCAACCTGTTTTCTGCAACACAGAAAGACGATATGGGGTCCCCTCTACTACTGGCCATCAAGACTTTCAGGCAGGTTCCAGTCAGGTAGCTAAATACACGAATCTTTCCATCAGCGCAGCCGCTGATGACTCTGAGATAGAGGAACTCCAGGCACAGAACTTCCCTGAAAACACAATATGCCACTGTTGGTACATCATGCTTTCACAAGGAGACATGATCAACTACCTCTTTTGTCTTGGAGGAGATGCAAAGGTCTGCCTCCATCAACAGGCTAAACAAAGATGCTCACTGAGATATTTAAAAGGCCTGGTAGTGAAGTCCTTCATCATCACTCCATGTCCAAACAAACCAACCCAGTGCATCCTCAGAACAACCTGTGTGGTTATGGCCATCTGCTTTATTTTAAATTTCATTATTATGTCTAGGAAAGCAAATGAAAACAATATGATGCTACAGTTTTTACAGTTCTAATAAGCAATTAAAGTATTATCAAATAACAATATACAGTTGGTAGGGTTCAGTATGCAACCCAGCCACCTCTGACACAGGCGGTATCTTCTCCTGACCAGGTAGCATGATCCCCTCTTGCATCTTTAAAATATTGCATGGACTGTGCACTGTCAGTCTTAAGTCATCCCTGTTTGTGAACAAGTGGTTGCATATTTGCATTTTAGGTTGTTCTAGGTCTTAACTGACAAACACTGGTTGCAGCCACGTAGTGCCTGACACTGTGAAGATGAAGACTGTTGAAAATGGGGATATTTCAAATCCTAAGGCTGTTAATTAAAGCATTTTGTGTTCCTACAAAGGAGGATTATTTTTTTTTTTAACAGGTTTAATGGGCTGTTGAATACAACTTGAAACACATCTGATTCCTACTTAGGGTGACGGAAAGCTATTAGGCATCGCTTAAGGTTTCCCAACATGCTCCATCCCAGGGCGTATCCATCAGTGCTTCCTGTGACTAGGTGCCACTGATCGAAGGACAAGCACTTAACTGGGCCTTGGTGCCCCTCTAATGTCTGCAAAGTAAAAGAAATAGGTGCAACACTGTCAGCAATCTGGATATAAATATGCCAAGGTATCTATGGCATTCACAATACCAGCCTTATATATTATATTGTAGTTTTATTGGGTGTTATTATAATATACCAATACAACCTACGGAGAAATGTGTTAGTTTTATAATCACTTATAAGAAATATTCTGGGCTTGTTGCTGATAATGAGCTACTAGCATGGAATTAACATCCATTCTCCTTCTTTATTATCTGTGCTAAATAGATGTGACTGCACCGAGACCTTTGCGATCTACTGAATCACCCAGGAGATCACGAGGATTCACCCACCCAGGAGAAGAGAGTGGACTGCCCTGACTATAGTGGACGGGCCAATTGCAAACTTAGCTCAGCTGGTGCTGGGGTAGCTTGCACCTGAGATGCATTTCAATTTGCAGCTCTCTTCCCGCAGGTAGAGCGAGATTCATTCCTCTCAGAGATGTGGACTAATACTAATTCTGGATGCCTGCTAAGGTAATTGGCAGACTCTGGCCTCAATCTTTACATTGCAGAGCAGCTATCCAGCTGCTTCAGCTTTATAAATGGGTTCTGAGAGCAAGTTTCATATTTTTGGCTAACCCGTGATACCTCTGACCCTGAGAGCTGTTAGTCAAGCCCTCCTGCCCTCTTCCCAGTTCTGAACGTTCCTACAGGAGCAGAGATGAGTGTATCTACAGAGATCAAGTAATGATGGGGCTTAAGCAAGGCAAATCAAACCCTGAGTTAAAATTGACAGTTGTTTTCAAATCAGTTTTTGTATTATTTGCTTAAGACTAATTCTGCAGTTTCTTTTATCAGTTTAGACTGCTTGTGATTTGAGGGGCCGGGGGAGAGATATTTCTTCTTTTTTTTTTTTTTTTTTTTTTAAGAACGTCTTTGGCAATAGCAAAAAGCTATGATAAACTAGCACAGAAGATTTTTGACTATTTTGCACAAAATTATCCACCTGAGGAGAAACTTACTTTGATCAGAGTGCCCGTATCAGCACACCAGACTTTCACCAGCCCTTGGTTACCCCCACTGACAACACGGGTGCCATCCATTTTAACTACCCAAACAGCACTGTTGTGCTTCAGGGTCTTGAGACATTTCCCACTCTCCAAGCTCCACACTGTTAGGGGCAAAGGGGAGAAATATTAAATACATATGCCCCAATGATAATTTTTTCTGATTTAATTAAAAGATACTATTGGAATTACAGCTGCACCTTGAACCTGCAGCTCTGCATGGAGTCAGGTGTTGGCTTAAAGAGTGTAATTGCATGGAAAAATTTTTAAATGTGAAGTCCAGAAAATGGCACGTCCTTTTCATCCCATTCTATAAGCTAACAACAAGGAAATGTCTGGCAAAGCTGAAAGTTGATAACTCTCTCCTAAGACTTTGTCTAGTCCCATAGTCACAAAGCCATTAAAATGACTAAAAGCAGAAATAATGAGAATTTTTTCAATGACACAATCAGAGCCCTTGGGTGTGCATGTGCCAGCTTCAGCTGTTCTGGAAGCAAAAATATAAGACACTAACATTCACCTTCTGATTTACAGACTTATTTCGTACTCGCACACTACACGTGTCACACTCATTACAACTCCCAAGTACTCTGCCCACTGCTCACTGCTGGTTGCCTTTGGCTGGGAAGCTGCTAGTCTTGGCTCTCACCTTTTACCATCCCATCTCTGGCTCCTGACACAAACTGCTCTTCATGTAAGTCCAAGCAGGTGATTGTCCCACAGTGACCATTAAAGATTTTCACGCAAGCACCACTGTATATATTCCAACATCTACAAAAGACCAACCAGAAAGGGAATACAGTGACTAACTTGACTGGTGGCTTATTCATCTTACTCATTATTTCCAGCTCTTCTCCCGTACACACTAGGTTAAAATCAGGAGTCATTCCACTAGGGTGTTGGAGGATTTGGAATGATGAAGTCAGGCTCAGTATTCAATTTTTACCAGTATACTTTGTTCTTCTACCTCCAAACGGCCTGAAAATGTGTGGCTAGATTTCACCTTTGTCATGGTTACCTTCACTTAACCTTAAAATGTGGAGTTTTCCAGATAAGATTGTTTCTTTACTGGCCAAGATGATTTCTGTTGACTTTATCTAGAGAACTCAAGCTCACACTTAAGCAAACAGCCCTTTTGGAGTGGGGAAGAGCAGGGAGAGCAGAGCCTGAGTCAGTATAAACTCTTTCCCCTTTAGTTAAATGCTCCCTTTAAGGAAGTTATGCAATTACCCTGCCAGAGCCAGACAACCTGCCGTTTAGCTTTTCACACCTCATTGTAATACTTTGAGAATTAGTGCTAAATAAGATACAAGAGCTGATCATCTCCACCCCTTGTTTCAGGGTGCAGTACCTGGGAAGGAGCAGCTGTACAGCAGCTACCCGGGTGTTGAGCCTGCTGAGCACAACCCACCTTCTAAAATGCCCTGGAGACACTCAGCCCCCCTGAACTTGATGCTGACCTTAGAAAGCTCAGAATCTTACTGAAGGTTCCTATGGGAAACATATCTGGTGTTTTAAGATACTGTAGGAAAACCTGTGCATCACCATATCTTCCTATTTTATCACTCAGTACTGGGTGAAACTGGGAAACAGAAGTTGTCCTGTGTGAGTGGGGGGATGTGTTTTCTTGTCCACTGTCCTTTCTTCATTGCTTTAATGAAAGTGATGGAAGGAGGATTCACAAAGGTTGGAGTGGAAGGATTAAAGTTTCATTTTTCCTAGGGGCTGGTATCCCAGTGCTGCTCACCTGATGCTGAGATCAAAGCTTGCACTGAGAACCAACCCTTTCTTCTCATTGAGGAAGAGTGCTTTGATGCTCCCAGCGTGGCCAGAGAGCAGAGGAGGAACTTCTTTCATTCCTGACATATCAAGAAGCCTCACTTTTCGGTCTGCAGAGCCAATGGCTACCAAGTTTCCACCACTGTAGTGGATTATTCTGCTCCCGTCTGGTCTGGATTAGAAACAGTGATGGAGAAGAACTTTAGCCAGCTAACAAGGTACAACAGGCCTAGGACTGTGACAGGCGTTTCTCTGATGCTTAATGGTCCTTATTGAGCAACCTGATGGGCAAGACACTTAAGTGAGCGAGTCCTTTGCAGGCCACCACAGCCAAGACCCCTCGTTCTGCATACCTGAGTTTGTATCTGGAGGGTAAACTTAAAAAGGGGAGAGGACTCTTCCTGACCCCGTGATGCACTGTGGATCGCTAACCCTTGTGTCTTTAAAAGTAGCTTATCTTGGTATCGCCACAAAAAACTGGATTTGACACTGAGGATTTCTTAACACTGATGGTGAGAGACCCTTCTCCAGCCATACATTGTCACAGAAGGATCACAGGGAATGGGACAGGTTTTAAGAAGCTGCTGTTTGGCCCTACAGCTGAGCAGCCCACTCACTGGTCCATGAGAACACGAATATTGTAGGAGCCACAGAAGACATTTCTCTCTTCCAGCTGGATTGTGTCAGTTTTCAGACCATGATAGGCTGCCTGTAGATTTTTTTCCTCCTGATGGAAAGAAAAATAGGGAAAAGTGACTCAAGGAGAGAGGAACGCAGCATCACGCCATAGTATTACACATATCGGCTTGGTCCCCACCATAGCAATGAGACCAAATGGGACAGAAAGCGTTGGCATGGAACACCCAGAGTGCAGAAACTTCCTGGTTGGTGCCGAAACAAGGGTTGTTCCCGTGCCACGTGCTGTGGCAGAAATGGAAGACCTGACAGCTGCACCCTTTATTCTTTGGGAAAGATGCCGTGTCCTTGTGATGCTGCCCAGCCGTGCCAGCGCCCTGGGGCGGTGCGACTGGGGGACGTTAGGACACGGCAGGAGCTCAGGGATGCAGGCTCCCTCCCCTGTGAGAAGGTGCTGAGCAAGCACTGTGCTTATGAATTGCTCACGATGGTGCAAGCAGGAGTGGGAGGAGAGCAAAGCAACTCCAATTTCACTGTCCTGTCTTCCAAGACCACCATGTCCTCCTTCCTCCGCAAATACTGGAATGCAGGATCCATGGAAGGCAAACAATTTCCAGCATACCTTTGATTTGCTTCCCCATTTGTGGCGTTTCATTTCGATGGCATCACCCTCTTCATTTAACTGTGGAATTGTGACATTGACTCTTTTAGCATAGTTTGAAACTGCTCCTCTGGGGCACAATCCCTGGAATAAACCAGTAGAGGTAGCACAGTTACTCCATATCCCATCTCCCATCTCCACGGGATGCACTGCACGCACTGGCTCCCTGTTACTGTTTAAGAGACTTTGTTGGTATAAGATTTAACTTCTTGTGAAAAATAATTGCTTTTTATTTTTTTTTTTCCAAAACTCTAGTCTTAAGCTTTTAATAAGCTGAAAAATTTCAAAGCGCATATCATCTTTGGTGAACACTCAGTTGATTCAAAATCCAAACCCACTGGGATGAGAGGCTCTCAAAACATCTTTATCAATATTTAAGATTCATTTTTAATGTGTGAAACCTTCCATTAAGCCTTCTTGAATAGCTAGCACAGGGTGGAGATCTCTGTGCTCTCTTCACAAATTAAAGCATGCAAAGACTCCTAACTATCTCTTTGGGGATTTACCTTTCCGCTTAGCTTGGTGTATGGCAGGTCTGTACTAACCAGGACAAGCCTTTCCTAGAAGCTCTGCTTTACTGTGTCCCAACCACCAGCTCTGACTTCTCGCAAAGAAACCTAGCATTTCCATCTTCCTAAGTGGAACAAATAAAGCTCATTTTTGAGCTGCCCCAGGGAGCCACTGTCGCTCTGCCCAATTTCCACTAGCTCCTGGAAGTCCAGTATTTGCATTTGTGACCAGACTCTGCTTTCTTGATTACGAGAATGTTTTGATCCTTTTTTAGAGTCATAGGCTCTCTAAAGGTCAGTAAAAGCTATTCTGTTGTGCTTACTTGTGACAGCAGGAACATCTGACCTGGATTAGCTCTGCAGAGGGAGGAGAAAGGAACAGGGTGGAGTTGGGAGGTAGCCTTTAGTAAAAGATCTCCATCTAATGGCTTGGGCAGTAGCAGAAAAACACCCTCTTCTTAAAGTGCATAATAATGGCAGAAACCCAGACATCGTACCTGCAAATACAGGATCCTCTCCTGGACTGTTCTTTGACACACACGTTCCCTCTTGACTTCTTTGGCCAGAAAATCCCAGCATCTACTCACAGCAGCACACGCATTGAGGGATTTTTCATCCAGAAGCCCTGAGAAATTGAAGGGACAGATTGGCTAAGCCCTATCCACGCTAGAGACCGTTCATTACCCTTGGGGGAAACCACCCTTGGAAATCAGAGCAGCTTTACCCAGGATATACATGGACAGGTGAGGTGGCAGGCAGCGAATGAAGTCCTTGGATTGGTTGGCATTAGAGGGTGACTGGAGAGATGCAGGAACCACGGTGACATCTTGATCAGCCAAGGACATAATAGGTGAGTTGTCCTCTGCATCAAGACCCTCCTGGATGAGGCACTCGGTGTTTTGGGGCCAGAAGCACATTGCTGGTGCTTGACCACCTAGAAGACAGGAGAAACTACCGTCACGTACGTGCTGGAGCTTTGGTGGCTGTTAACAGCACTGTTGCTAATGGTGCATGGCAGGAGTCGGTTGATCTTAATCTGACTCTTCTGCTAGCCCCTTTGGCACTGCGCCGTCCAAAGGAAAATGCCAAAACCACTCAGGGTCTTGCAGGACAGTTGACACCAGCGGGGTATGAGGGTGGGGAGTGACAGCTCTTCCCCCTCACCATTGCCCTGAGAGGTCGTGAGGGCTCTTCACAGCTGGAAACATCAGCGAGGCCATAGGAGACCCTGGGTGAGCTTGGTGGGGACACAGCGTGACACTTTTCTCTTTACAAACAGGAAACACTTTAACTCCCGCACCTCTGTCTACAGCAGTCACCAACACGGGAGAGTGACTGACCCAGACTCTACAGGGGAATACCAAAACAACCTCATGCCAAGGACATAGCTCTACTTTTCTGAAAAAGAGTGGAAAACCTTCTCTTCTTTCAGCCATTAGCTTTTCATGTGTGAAAATATGACTTGGGTTATGACACTGCAGAAGCAAAGAAAGGGGGACAAATTTCTCTGTTGTCCCCAAGATAACAGAAAGGTAAACACAGCTAATGCCCTTCTCACAGTAGTTTTTGCTGGTGTCCACATGCACCTCTAGCATCTTTGCCCAGCTTCAACCCCCCACAGTGCAAGGCTTTCGCTCCTTTTAGGTGCAACACCAGCCACAGCGCTACATTTTGAAATTCAGTTTGTGCTGGTAGAAGACCTTACACCTGGCAGAACAACATCTCAATCAGCAGAAGGGAAGACACTGTCTTTCATCTCTTCTCTAAGAGCATACTGTCAGCACCTCGGCAAGCTTGGGAGGTGACTCAGTGCGAAGACAAGCATCTGTTGAATGGCATCACCTCCCCTTGCATGGCAGTTTGAAATTCCCAGCTAACTACTGCCATGGTCTGCCATGCTTTCTTCCAGAACGACTCAGGACAGAGCTGGTCCTAGGCAGTGCCAGTAGTCAGTGTCCTGGTATGAAACTCCATAGGGTTTTTTTCCCACAGTATCACATATTCAGGTAGTGGTGCCCATCACACTAAGCTGGCCTGTTCTTGCAGATGAGGTTTAAGTGAAGAGCTGCAGAAGTGCTAGCAGACCATAGTGGAAATCAAATCTGGGCACTGGGCTGAGGACAGCTGTCTTCCCTGAAGCTGCTTTGGGATTCAGCCCATGATCCACCTACATCTTCCTCTGGAAGAATTAACCAGAGTCAAACTTTACAATAGACATCTTAGAGCTGAATCAGGGGATTGGGGATTGCAGAAGTTAGAATAGTATATTAAGTATCTAATAAATAAATTATGCTATATTATTTATTTTATCCCTTCAGCGCTTTCTTTAGTATGGTTTTCATTACTTAAAACATTCAATTCACAACCACCCCTCCCGAGATGTGTTGCCCAGGAAAATTCATTAGGAAGTTTTTGCCATTACACTGCTGTCAACTATACTCCACTCTAATTCTCTTCCCTTTAACGATCACCTCATTTACAGGGTTGCTGCACACTGGTGCACACATGCAGGCTGGTGCTGAGGCAGAGCTGGCCCCGGGAGGCTGATGCTGGGGCTGAAGCTGCCAGGTCTGAGTCCCCTTTGGCCCCGTCTCCTGCTGCCGGGATCGCCCCATTCCCTCCACCACCCGTACTTGCCCTTGGCTTTGCCCACTCGCTTTCTCCAGCTGGAAGGACCAGAGACCTAAACAATACCAGATTTGCAGTATTAACCAGAAGATTAATAGCGTAATGCAAATAAAGCTACAATTAACAGTTATGTTGACTGGGCGGTTTCTTTCAGCAGTTACCCTTTGTAGCGCCTGCATGGGGAATTTTGCCACATGCCATAAAATACTTTCTAGGGAAGGGAACAAGCATCTGGACTGCCAGGCTGTGGCAGATGACAGAACGGAGCCTGGGTAGCGTTGCCTCCATTTTAGCATCGTCCCTGGACCACAGTGCTTGTACGCCAGAGGTGGCTCTGACACGGCCTGGCCATCTCCCCCCGACCGCGGGCTGGCCAGCAGCGCAACCGGCGAAAGCTCAGGGGCAGATCTGGATCTCTGGGACGAGCAGAGGGTGAGTGCAGCGCTCTGCATTCCCCGGGGGACACAGGTGACGCTCTCAAAGCGCCGATGACCCCAGCCCTGCCGCTCTGCCAGCAGAAGCCCGTTCCCCCCGGGCAGGGGCTGCGTGCTGCGTCCCCGCAGCGCTGCTCCGCCGGGGGGGACCCACCGAACGCCACGCACCCCGCTCGTGGGGGGGCATCCTCCTGCCTCGCCCGCACAGTTCCCTCCAGGTCGCGTTCAACTCGCAAGTCTCAGCTGGGAGAAACCCAAGAGGATTTGGGGGGGGGGGGGGGGGGGGGGGGGGGGGGGGGGGGGCGGGGAGGGGCTCAGGGGAGCCCCAGCAAGGCAGTAGCTGCCTTTCCTACCTCAGAAGGACCAGCACCCCCAAACGCCAACCCCCGCGGGCCTGGCTGCCCCGAGTGGGGGGGTTTACCCCCCTGTTTTCTACCCGGCAAGCGGTGAATGAAGCATCACCTGAAGGTCTGTTCTGCGTCCCAGTATCCCCACGCCCGGGCGCAGACCAGACCGCCCGTCCCCGCGTCCCACGCACACCCGGCGGTGCCAGGGGCGGCCACGGGCCCCACGGATCCCGCGGCCCCGGCCCCGCCGTTCGCGGCCACGCAGCCGGTACCGCTTGCCCGGCGCTGCGCTCCCCCCGCCGCCCGCCCATCCCCGGCGCGTCGCGGCTGCTAGGAGACAGCCGCTCCCGTAAACGGCCGCATTGCTGCCAGTAACCGCCCCTCCTGCCCGCCCGGGGGGGGGGGGGGGGAACTGCTGCCTCCCCCCTCGGCTCTGCCCAGGCAGCGGGGATGGGGGGCCCGGGCACCGCAGAGCACGAAGCAGCTGGAAAGTGAAGCAAATGGGCGTAAAAATTCCCGCTGAGGTGGGAGCGCAGTTGGCCTTCCGACCCCCCCCCGTGTTTGCTTTTTAAACGCTGAAATCCAAACGCAGTCAAAGTTGGGCAGAGCTGATGCAGAGGCTGTTGCTTCGGTCAAACACACATTTTTTTACTTAGTTTCCTGAGTCCCAAGCTTCCCCAGGTAGGAAAAAAAAAAAAAAAAAAAAAAAAAAAAAAAAAAAAAGACCTCATTTAGTCATCTAATGAGTCAAAGATGCATGCAGAATAAAGAGTAAAGGCTAGTTCATCCATCATTTGGGAGAAGGTAGGAGGATTAGCTAGGTCATTAAAAAACCCTGACTTTTGACAAGACGACACAGCATTGCAGAACAGCCCAGGTGGGAAAGCAGCAGAACTCAGCAATAAACTCACACCCCCTCACGCCTTGCAGAGAGGGGCACAAGCACATTAGGAGAGCAGAGCCATGTACCGGGGCCTTGTTCTGCACACGGCAGGTTTGGGGCTCTCGCTGTGCCCGTTTGGCCCTTCCACTTGTAGGCAGGAGTGGAAAAGACAGCGCTGGAAGGGAACACGACACACTCTGCCCCACGGAGATTTCGGTGCAGCCGGTGCAGAGGTTTCAAGCTTGGCACGTGCAAAACAAACGTGCTGTTTGAAGCTGGCAGCCCTACGGCCTCAGGCACCCAAGCTGCCGTCCCACACACATCCCCACGCAGGATTTTAATGCAACTCTTTGGTAGAGCAAGCAGAGGAAAGTAGGGCTGCAGCCTCAGCCATTCTTCTCCAGTACAGTCTCGTTCTCCTGCCACGAAGAGCTACTTGTGGCAAATCCAGCCCTTCTCACCAGTTCCAAACCCAGCTATAGGCTGCCTCTGGGTGTTTGCTTGTTTATTTAAATCAAAGCTTGGAGCTGCCCTCTGCAGAGATCACGGCCCCTCCCAGAGATGCATTTCACTCCCTGCGCACGGAAATGCTCCTCTCACACGGCATCTAGGAAGCAATCTTTACTTCCCTCATAGTCCATTTGGGATGGCAGCACCCACCACTGAGAAACTGCTGTCCCAGGGTGAGAGACATCCCCCAACTTCCCCGATCTCACCTACCTCCGGGAGGGTGCAGCCACCTCTCCCCAGGGCAGGCTCCCTGCTGTCCCCCCTCTATACCAGCCCTGAAACCCCCCATGTAACCCTGATTGCCTCTCCAGCCCCAGGCTTCACAGAGACCCAAAGCCCCACTGCTGAGACAACACCCTCTGCACCAAACCTAACCCCTTGGCCAGGGGAACAGGAGGGCTGGGAGCACATCCCCCACTGCCAACTCCTTCTCAGATAATCCCCGGAGTCACTTTACCAGCTGCACATGAGTACACAGAATTGAACCAGCACCTGAGGGCATTTACTAGAGGTAAATATTGATAGAACTCAGAGAAGCACAGCCCAGCAGCTGAGATAGCAAGCTGAATGTTTTTGGTTTGTTGGGTTTTTGTTTTTTTTTTTTTTTTGTTTTGTTTTTTTTTTTTTAATCTCTTATACTCTCCCCCATACTCCTCCTGAGCTACAGCTCTTCTGTGCTGCAACTCAGCCTTTTTATAGGAAACCTGTGCTCCTTCTCCAGCTGAAATAATTTTGCTGCTGATAGAGCTCAGGTGTCTCTGCCTGTTCCTGGTGCAGGCAAGGCTGCTTGCCTGGGGAGCCCTCCCCGCAGTCAGAGCTGTGGGGATTAGTGTTTTGAAGCAAGCAATAAATTCCTGAGATGCGTAAGATTCGTTTGGAGATTAAAGCTGTGCAGGCAAATCAGCTAAAACAAACTGAGTGTTTTCCTGGCTCTATCTGTCCTAGGATACACAATAACCTGGGAGAGATGAAGGCACCCTGGGAACAGATATGAAGCTGAAGTCCTGTATCTGGGAGATTTACACTGGGAAGAACCGGATGCAATGGGAAACGTACTGGTTTGCCAAGGCCTGGGGACACATTCAGCTGCTGGCCAGTGGAAGGAGGAGCCCAGGCCATCCCTGGGGCCTGGAAGGGTGGGCATGTGTCTGGGTCATTTTTTTCCTTCCACAGGTCTTTAAAGAAAATATCCCTTTTCTTTTAAGTCTCAGTGTTTTGGAATGATGACTGGAGCATGCCCAGGGGCTAGCAAGTAAATCCGTCTTCTTCTTCGTGCAGGGGTGGTTAAAGCTCAGAAGATATAGTGAGCACCCTGAGAAGGGTGGAAAAATACTTCTTGCTTCCCAAGCACGGCATCCTTCTCCTATAGCACATTTCCTCCCATGCAGAAGGGTCAAAAAACATTTTTGATGTTTTGATGGCCTAGAGGTTGTTCACAAGGGTTTCGTCCCTGTGTGGTGGGATGCAGGGGGTGGGAGTGAGTGCAATTTGCAGTGTCACAGACTTTGTGTGATGCTGGAGGGTACAGAGAAGGGTCAAAGCAGGGAAGCAGAAGTATTAGGTGCTTGTCACCTTGGTTGTTGTGTCTGACGCACACACCACGTGTGAAGAGCAGGGAAACTTGAGCATCACCACCTTTACATCAAGACACACCACAAGTGTCCTTATAAACACCGGCATCCAGTTATGATGATTGTTTTTATTGTAGAAGCAATCTTAATCTCTCACCAAAATGAGGGAGTGCCCTGCTCAGCCTGGGGAGCTACAGGCAGCCCAGCCACGAGGAGCTAGAGGCTCGATCAGAGCTGACAGGTATGGAAGGAGGAAAACCAGCGCTGTCTTCCTTGTGTTACTGGGATGTGGAAGGGCAGGGTTGGAAGCAGGTTGCCCGTGGAGCTGGCGGCAGAGATGCCTGGCAGTTCTCTGAGGAGAAGGCTGAAGCTCAAAGTGACCCTCCTCCTTGGTGGCTGCTGCCGTAGCATTCATGGTGGCATGGCTTGCTCTGATTTCAGAAGCGAAGGCGCCTGGAAGAAGCCTTCCTTCTCCCCGCTGCTCTCTGCTTAAGAGGACACCGGGCGCCGGATAGCAAAGAACTTGATGGGTATCGCCCTTCTCTCTATCTCAAGCCATAGGGAGAATAAATTCGTCTCCTTGTACTCGATGGCGAGCTGGAAGGTGAAGCTCTGCAGCAGTGTGGTGAGGAAAAGGAAGAGCTCTATGCGGGCCAGCGCCTCTCCTGGGCACATCCGCTTCCCTGGGGACACAGAAAGGGGAGGGTGGGCACTGGGCTGATGGCTTCACCCAGCATTTGGGGAAAAAAGGGTGTAAAAGGGTAGCGATAAAGCTCATATTAAGGGTATAACTGGTGCCAGCCATATTCGTGCTGGCTGTCCCCGGAGCAGAGCTGCTGCGGGCAGGGTGCCGGCAAAGGCGACGTGAAGGACTGAGCACTGACCTGCCGAGAAAGCCATGAAGGCTTCGCGCTTCCTGAACTCGCCCTTCTCATCCAAGAAGTGGCCTGGGTCGAATTCTGTGGGGTTCTCCCACTGGGTTGGATCCGTGTGCACGGAGGAAATGACGGGAATAACAACTGTGCCCTGCGAGAAAGGGAAGGGGCAGGGGAGCAAGGAGGGACATCAGTACCACGACATAGGGCTCTGCTGAGATGGCTTAGCAAGCGAGGAGAGTCTGGGGGGCACGGGGAGAGGCTGGGTGCACACCCCGATGCCTGTGGGGAGGCAGCCCAGAGCGATGGCTCTGTGACAGGCAGGGACAACTAATGTGGGGCTCTGGTGTCCCCATGATCCTGCCAGTCTCTGTAGAGCTCATGAGACAGAAATTACTGAGTTATTCCCATTGAGTTATGTTAAAACCCCTCTCACTGTGCAAAGCCCAATGGAGGGAGGTGTTGCTTCAAGGTGGGTGCTGTACGAAATGCTTGCAGCTGTCCCCAGAGCTGCCGAGGAGGTGGGGGCTAGCTTGGCCGCACCAGGGCCAGCTCAGGCTCCCAGCCCCAGCAGCCCCGCACACCTCTCTGGTTGAGAGAGGTTTTTTTTCCAGGTCAGGCAGGGAACACGGGTGTATAGCCAGAACTGGCAGCAGCATTCACCTCCCTCTACTCCTCTGCTAAAAGGTTATCACCATCTCCCCACACTGAGGATTGGGAAAGACCTTGGACCTTCAGGAGTGAACAAACAGTCCAGGGGCAAAGGCAAATCTCATTCAAGCCCCCCCTGCCACCCCTCTCCTCCCCTCCCCTCGGGACACAGAGACTCCAGGGACGCGATGTTTACCTTGGGGATGGTGTAGCCCCTGAACACGACGTCCTGCGTCATCATCCGCGGGAAGTTCTCGATGCGGGTCTTGTGGAAACGCTGCAGCTCGTGGATCACTGCATTGGTGTATGGCATCCTCAGCTTGTCCTCCGTGCTGGGAGCACGGCCGGTGCCCACCACTGTGTCGATCTCCTCTTGGACCTTGGCTGGGGAAAAGCCAGAGATGGAGTTGAGGTGCTTGCTGTACAAACCCCCCCATAATTCCTTACTGGCCTCCATGGCACCTATCCTAGAGCCAAAGGATGACCTAGCAGAGAGGGAGCAAGCTGGCATAACTCCTTGTAGAGACCAGAATTAGGGTCTCTGTCCACATACCTCCCCAAATCAGGCAGGTTCAAAGCATCTCTCATAGGCCAGTCCGGGGCCATCTGCACAGGCAGGGATGGAGAACGGGGAGCAGGTACCCGCATCCCTCTGGCCTGTGTAAATCTGTTTCTGATGGCTCTCACTCTTGGGTGACCCATGCAGGATGATTTTGGTCTCCCCCCAAACAGGACCCTCCAGGGCTAGGGCTCTCTGTCTGCACCTTTGCTGCGCCGTGACCTCCTCAGGCACAGGGAGCACTCACATTTTGCTGCCCTTACCTTGAATATGGGGGTGTTTTGCCAGGATCAAGAAGAAGAAGACCAGGGCATTGCTAGTAGTCATTGTTCCGGCACCAAAGATTTCGAATACTGACATGACCAAGTTTTCACTGCTGTACATCTTCTCCGGGCTGCTTTTCTCCTACAAGGATGCAGTGGGGAGGGGATTTAGTATCGTCTGGGTGATTTTCCAGGCTGCAACCAGGTCTGAAGGGCAGCCCTGGCCCCTCTTTGCACCACCTCTACCTTCTCTGCTTTCACAAGGAAACAGTCGATGTAGTCCCGGGGGCAACTGGGATCCAGCGTCAGTTTGTGAAGCTCAATTCTTTCTCGGATGTAGTCCTTCAGCTTCTCACACTTGGCCAGGACTTTCTTGTGTCGCCCCGGGAAGTGGTGTATGATGTTGGGGAAGGTGTTGTAGACCTGTGGATGGAAGAGGCACAGGAGGGCTCAGGTGCCTGGATGGAGCCTCCTGCACCTTCCCTCAAAGCCATGTTGTCCCATCAAAGCCAAGGAGCATCCCTTGACTGCCCAAGCACATTGAACATGAGGGTACTGAGCACAGCAAGGATGCCTACCATGGCGATGGGAGAGAGAAAGAAGCTGACATAATTGCCAATCGCATTCAGTAGCTCCAGAAAGACCTTGTCGCTGTAGCTGTAATGGCTCCCGAAGACAACGGAGCAGATCACATTGGCAACTGCATGTCTGAACATCATCACCGGTTCAAAGGCATTTCCTGCAGCCACAGAAGAATCAAGAAAGGCATCAAAAAGTCAACAGTTATTCTTCTGCTTCAACACAGAAAACACCCTTCCTCTCTGTCATGGTTTGAGCCCAGAGGGCAACTGAGCAGCACGCAGCCCTTCACTCACCCCGTCCCCTCCAAGTCTAGGAAAGAGAAGAATGAAGTAAAAGGCTTGGGAATCGAGAAAAGGAAAGGGAGGGGAGGCTGACCCATTATAGTCACAGGCAAAAGACAAAGAACATCACGTCTCTGCTCCGATGGACCTCCCTCCCTTCTTCCTCCTTCCTTCCACTGACTGTGGTCTTCGCACAGGTGTCCTCCTCCCAACACCTCTTCATCAGTCCCAACTCTCTCCCAGGTTCCCCTTCTTAAATACGTTACCACGGAGGCACAGTCACCACGGCTAATTGGCTCTGCCCTGGCCAGAAGTGGGTCCAACTTGGAGCCAGGGGAGCTCTGAGAAGCTTCTTACAGGGGCCACTGCTGTAGCCCCCTTCCCTTGCTACCAAAAACCTTGTCACACAAACCCAGCACACTCCCTCTCTGAGCCCGTCCTTTGAACTCTGAGCCCTGGTTGAATCTGCCGGGTCTAACAGCCAAAACAAGGATCCCTCCTGAGCTGTGGGCTCCTACATCTACCTCCCTGCTCCTAAACACCTCTCCAGTGGCTGGGACTGAGGAAAGCAGAGGCATCTCCAGGCGCTTTGGGCTCCTGCTGACATGACCTGGGAATCTGGGGGGCTGCAACCCCTCGCCAGCACCACACGTCAGAGGCAGAGGAGCCGGCATATGACTGAGCTTCCATCTCCTGTTGTGTTCAGAAAGCCCCAGAAGAGGTGGTGGCACGGGCAGCAGCTCAGTTTTGTTGGAGGGGAAGACATCATTATGGCAACCCCTGTGTCACCAGGGCAGTATCTTATTTGTGCATTCTCAATGCCAGGCAGTTTAGTTTCCTATTTCTGTTCTTTTGGCATGAAATGTTCCTGAGTGGTTTCCCTCCCCTGCACCAGTTCAGGAGCAGGATCTCCCACCCTGGCCTTTCAGCCATGACCGTACCACATCCCTGCAGCTCCCTTTGGGTGGGATGGGGCTGGGTCTAAGCCCTTTCTCTACAACCATCATCCACACCAGCCATTGCAAACAGCTCTAGGGACTACACGTGTCCCATGGGGCTGCTGTGTGTCCTCTGCCTGCTGCAAGGGCCGGGGTGGACAGGACCCACGTCACCTTTGAGTTTCTCCAACAGTTCCACCAGATGCTGGACCTCCTGCTGCACCCGCTGCGACATGGTGTTCTTCCCCATCCCAAAGTCCCGCAGGGTGCTGAGCGTGAACCTCCGCAGCTCCCGCCACTTCTTCTCGTCGTTGGAGACAAAACCTGGAGGGAGGCAGTGAAGACCACTCACCTGCTCACCCCACCGCTCCCCCCCAGGAACGGGGGACCTTGCCCTGAGCCCAGCTGAGGAGCAATAGGGCAGTGAGCCAGGGAATGGCCCTGGCGTGTGCACAGTGACCTTGAAAGGCTGAGGATCTCTACAGAAGCTCAGAACAAAGCTGGAACTGGATAACTGGAATTAATACTGTCCTTGGACAAGAGGCTTCATAGTGGGAGGGACTTGCAGAGTGGGAAGTGGGTGTTTGAGATCTCGGGTGTTGTGTCTTTCACTAGACTTGAGCATGGCCAGCTGCAGCCAGAGACTTTCTGCTCACCCAGAGGGCAATAGTGTCTAGAAGAAACCCAGACACCTACCATAGCCTTTCGATAGCTGCATCAGAAGGGGTATTTCAGGTCTCCCTCCAAACTCCTCGGAGTGGCCCAGCAGAGCATCCTTCACCACCTTGTACCCGCAGAGCACCACCACCGGCTTCTGCCCCAGCCAGACGGTGAAGATGGGGCCGTACGTGCTGCTGAGCTGGGGGAGGACGGGAAAGCTGTGGTGAAGGAGGGTCCCGCACCCCAGCCATTCGTTTAATTTTAAATTGGGTCTTGTGTCTGCAGGGCTGGTGAACGCGTGGGCGGGGAGGGGAAGTGCCTCCCTCCAAGTCGGCATCCTCGCCCCGCTCCCATCCCCAGCCCTGACCCTGGGGGGTTTCTGATCCCAGTGCCACCTTGGGGGGTTTGAAACATCACCTGCAGGAAGCAGCTCTGGATGGCAGCAGTGCTGCCGCCCGGAGAGAGGATAGTGTCACTGCCGTGGGTCCCTTACAGGAGGAGAAAGACTTCAATAACATTATTGATTATGCTCCCAGTAACAGGGATTTAGGCAATTCTGGCAGAGCAAGAGAAGAGGAAGGGAAAAATAGAAAAGAAAGGTAGGAAAAGAATCACCTGCACAATCCCCTTTTATTCTGACACGGGACATTCACATTTTCTCTCCTGTGGGGCTGGGAGCGGATCTGGCACCACCAGCTCCTCTCTTACCTTCTCGTAGGTCTTGTAGAGGGGCAGGACATCTTTTTGCAATAGGTTGCCCAGAATGGGCCTGGGGGGTGGTCCAGGAGGCAAACAGCTTCTCTTCTTATCGTTTCTCCAGACCAGGAACCAGAGGATGGAGAGGAGGAGGAGGGTAACGAGCACTCCAGCCAATCCAGCATCCATCCTCACCTGTGCTGCTGAGCAGGGAAAAAAAATCAAGAAATTCCCTTTCTAGGGAGAAACCCACAACTGAGTAGTGAGCAGTGAGGAGCTGAAACCTGCTGCCTCTGCCCTTCCTTGTGCTTTATATAGGCACAGCCCTTCCCACATGCCCAGGGTCATCTCTTTCGTGTCCCCCCACCACTCCCCGGGCGGTCAGTGACATGGAAATGCTGGTTTCTCCCAGCCCCGCTGTGTTGTAACACGGGTCTCAAAGAGCTGACATGGGGTGCTGGAAGTGTTGCAAAACCCCTCAGGAGTGCTGGGGGAGATAGCGGCTCTCCCCGCCCCATGTTGCTGAATCACTTCTGTGCTCTCTTTTGGTGGCATGCCAGAGAAGTTGTCCCTGTCCTAGGAAAGCCTCACATGTCATTGCCAGGTCATTGCTCGTTTTGTCACTGCCTTGCCTACCGGTGCAGTGACCCAGGAGGGGACATTCTTGTAAACAGAAACCAAGGGAGCCTGGGAGGGGGGCATGCACGGCTGGTCAGGTACCTGTTGGGTGACAATTTTCCATCAAATTCCTTTGTAATAGAAAATGGATCAGAAATTAGGAAAAACATCTTTTTTTTTTTTTTTTTTTTCCCTGAAATATTTTGGGGTTCCAGTTGAGGTCTGGAGGAATGTCAACCCAAGGTGTTGCAGTTGTTGCAGGCATGGAGTTAACTCTTCCCAATGTTTTTGAGCATCTTGCTCTGAGCACCAACACATCTGGCTGCACGCGAGCACATCTGGCATTGGCTCAGCCACCACACCTCCGGTCAGGAGCGCTCGCAGCCCTTGGCCAAGCAAGCCAGTTCCCAGCAAAGGATGTGATTTCTCCTGGAGGAGAGGGCTGAAGGAAAAGAGGGGGGAAATTTGATTTCATGCTAGTCCCTGCAGTGGAAGGAGACCCTCAGAAGAGGGTATTGAATGGTATTCACTGAGAAGAGCCTGAATTATAACACTCACCCAGAGCAGAGCATCTTCTGGCTTCCAGCTGCGGGATGAACGGCTGAGAGCCAGGGCTGTGTTTGAGCAGGGCTGGTAGAAACAGCCAGGATCTCTGCACTTGCTCCCATTTTTGGCCACATAGCAGGGCAGTTCGCAGGTGTCGGGCCAGGGATGCTCGGCACCGCTGGCCAGGCTCATCCCAGCCAGGCTCTGGGGGATGCTCTCCCATGGCTGCAGTGCAATTCCTTACACAGACGCACCAAATCTCTCTCAAATCACAAAAAGAAAGTGACTGGGAATGAACCTCCCTCAGCCCTGGGACTGCTCTGTGTCAATATTTTGATTTTTCACCCTGTCCCATGCTGCTGGGGGCCGGAGGGGGGTTCCTGCCTCCACCAGAATTGCAAGTGCACTCAGCAAAAGGGGTTTTGGGGAGGAAGGGTCGTGGTGGCTGGATGGGCAGCCCCACGGCGGTGCCAGGAGCCCCGTAGCTGAGATTCACTGGGGCTGAGGCCAGGAGGTTACCGTGACTCACTTGTTTACCCTGTCCCATCCCATCCCGTCCCTGCTCTTCCCACAGATTGCTCTAAATTCTTGGCTGGGGTGCCTGCAATTGGGGAACTTTGCCTGGGGAGGTGAAGCACTGACCAGGATTTTGGCAGGGGTGTTAACAGCCTCTCGGTGACTGACACCATTTTTTCCATGGCAGCCAAACAATACAAAGGAATCACTCAAATAACAGGAAAAGAAATAGCCATAGGGATTAATTTGAGCTGCAAAATTTAAATCCAATGGAAAATTCCCTCTTTTGCGGGCGAGCTTAGGCAGAGCCTGTGGACGCCTGCCTGGACACCGATAGCATTTCAGTGCAACACTCATTGTTACAGCAGCTTTTGAAAGGTGAATGTGTCTAGTGCAACAAAAAATCATTATTATATCACATTTTATTAATGAAATAGAGAAGACGAACAAATCACCCTGAAATTTGTGAAGCCAGGTCACCAGACAAGAAGTTTAACAACAAATAACTCCCAGAGATGATGAAACTTTCCACTTGCCTTCTCGATCTGCTTGATGAAACTTTACTTTAAGTTTCTCTACATAATCTATAGAAAAAAAAAAAAATAAACAAAACCCCAAAATGTAGTGTCTGTGTAGTATCTCTTGTCAAGTGTGTAAAAAAAAAGGGAAAGGTAGAAGTTGTCAACTGAACTTTTAGCAGCTGAACACCACTTTGAAGACAGCTCAGGAGGGAAGAGCACAGATGGGCTTTGACGCAGCTGCTTTGTCATTTTGAGGGACTGGGACTTAAAGTGAGCTCAAACTGCTTCATATGGACCCAAAACCATTGGTACTTTGCCCATCTTTCTGCTGATTTTCTTACAAAGGCTTTTGGAGAGCAGGGGTCTGTGGAGAAGCAGGCTGCTGCAAGGCTTTGGGATCCCTTCAGGAGCAGTTGGTGAGACCTTTCTGCCCCAAAAACTAAAATAGCAGGGAAGAGCCAGCTAAAAACTCACATGGAAGGACCCATGTGACATGAACAAAAAAAGGGAGAATATTTTGACTGCTAAAAAAATTTAAAATCCATTTAGGGATTGCCAGGGCCTTCGGATTTTCATTCAAAGTCATGTTTTGGGACTAAACTCATGCAGAAATAACATGTAAAAGCAATCGGGGAGCTGAGCAGCTCATGCCTGGCCAGTCCTGGTGCCTGGATGGAGCCTGGCTCCTGCCTGCCATGCTGAGGCTCTGCAAGGGATGGGGAAAAACATTGCTCAATTAAATAAATGGTCATGTTGCTGGAGCAGACCCAGAGTATATCAGAGGGGTAGATTGAAGGAGTTAGAAAAAATTAGGCTCGTGGAGTCTTTTTCGGCGTAGACATGTATTTGGAAAAGCTGCAAGGCAAACACAACAGCGCAGAAATGAGAGAAGATGACTCTGGTTAAATAAAGAAGTCAATAAACTGTCTGAGTTATTAGATCTGGGAAGATCTGCCAGAGGAAATCATAATGGTTGTGCCTGTCTCTCAGCTAGAGCTTCCCTGCAGACGGTGTCAAAAAACTGTGGCAAGGATCAGGAGGTGTCCCACGTCACAGGGAGGAGGGTGGGGAGAAGAACCACAGCACGGCACAGCCAGGAATAGGGTCTGGCTGGGGCTCGCAGCTGCAGAGACACCAAGTCACTGAGGCTGGAGACACCTCTGGACATCATCTCCTCCAAGCTCCTGGTACAACAGGACGGCGGAAGGAGGCTGCTCCAGGCCACGTCTAGTTGGGTTTTTAATATCTCCAGGGATGGAAACTCCACAGCCTCTCTGAGGAACCTCTTTCTATGTTTGACCACACTCACAGTAAAATAGTATTTTCTTATGTTTAAGGAGAATTTCAGTTTGTGCCCATTGCCTCTTGTCACTTGATACCTTGGAGAAGAGTCTGGCCCAGTCTCCTTTACCCTCGCCATCAAGCATTTATCCACATGGATAAGGTCTCCTTGAGCCATTTCCTCTCCAGGCTGAATCATCCCAGCTCTCTCAGCCTCTGCTCATTGGAGAGATGCTCCAGACCCTCGGTCTTTGCTGAACTCACTCCAGAATGTTCACATCTCGCTTGTCCTGGGGAGCCCAGCGTGGGACATGACGCCCAGATGTGTCATCAGTGCTGAGCAGAGGGGCAGAATCCGCCCCTTGACGTGCTGGTGATGCTCATGCGTCATGCTGATGCAGCTCAGGAGGCTGGTGGCTGCCTTTGCTGTCAGAGTGCATTGCTGGCCCATAGCTCAATCTCCTCCAGGACCACCAGAGCCAAGCCAGCTGGGTGGCCCCCAGCATCTCCTGGTGCCTGGGGGCAGGACTTGCCACTTCCCCTTTGCTCAACCTCACCAGGTCGCTCTCAGCCCGTTTCTCCAGCCTGTCCAGGTCCCTCTGCACGGCAGCAGGACCCTCTGGTGCACCAGCCACTGCTCCCGGCGTGGTGTCATCTGCCAACTTGCTGAGGGTGCACCCATCGTCCACGTCATTAATGAAGGTGTCAGACAACATTTCCGGAGATTCCTGGTCCACAGGCTTTCAAACACAGCCTTCGTGGCAGCGCCAATGGGTAGCTGTTACACTGTGCAAGGTTTCAGCCCGGGCTTTGCGGAGCCCAGCCTGCCTCCACACCCTCCTCCTCGCACCCTTCACATTGCAGCCGTTTGTCAAGGCTGATGCCCAGATCCCACCTTGGCTATGAAGCAAAGCTACAGCCCTGAGTTCCCCTGATCTCATGCTTTGCTTCAGCTCTGCTGGCTTAGAGTAAGCTGTTACACTTACGCTAAGGCAATTAATATTATCCTAATGCAATTTTGCCCCATCAGCAGCCCAGAGGCTCTGGAGGTGCGCTGCTCACCCCGGGGCCTCGACCGTGCAGAGCGAAGGTTGCATAAAAATAGCAGTAAACCATTTTAATCTCTCCTCCTTTCCCCTCTGCAAGCACAGGGGTGAGACAGCCCCGGCGACCGCTCGCTGCGTAGCCCAGGCCAGCTAATGACTAAGCTGGGAGTATTTTTGGTTGCTCTTAATAATGCAGCAGTACTCACTGCATCAGAGTCTGGCCGTAATTATAGGGCGAGTGTCATTTGTCATCTCTGTCATCTCCTCTTGTTGGGAGGTATCTCCATGGCAGCGTGATGCTGAAGCCCCTTTCACACTCCCGGGGGGAGGTTTCTGCAGTTTGCCATGGGATCCCTCAAGAAAACCCAGTTTTACACCACCGACTAACCCAGACCTGCCCTGGCGTGTGGGAGGGGCCCGGTTTGATTTGTCTCCGTAATAAAAATGCGTTTGGTTTGGTGGCAGGGCTTCCTCCGGCGCAAGGCAGGCGAAGGGGTGGAGCAGGTCCCCGCCACCCGCTCGCGGTCCTTGCGCTGTTACTCCTCGGCCGCGTGTCTCAGCTGAGGCCCTCGGCTGAGCCCCCCGCCGCGGTGGATGCTCGCTGGAGGTGGGTAACACCGGCGCGTTGTGGTCTTAGCCCCTGGTGATCGGGCTGGCAGCGTGGGCGCGGAGCTGGGCTTTGGGCTTTGAGGTCAACCCTGCACCCTTTGAGGGTTCAGCACCGGAGGAGCATCGGGCCCTTCCTTCATC